ATTATGTTTTAATGTTTACTTGACAAAATATTTTGTTCATGAAAAGAATTGAAAACAAACAAAAGATAAAATTCATATAGAAATTATTTCATTCTCGACAATTTTTTATCTTGTAAAATAAATTAAAAATTCTGAAGATGAAGAAATTATCATCATTTTCATGAATTTAATAATTATCTTTTCACATGAGAAAACTACAAATAAAGCATATTCATTATTACTTAACTATATGGAAAAAGCATTTTATTTGTACTCATTATTACTATTATAAAAATATTAACATATTTTAATTATTTTTTTATTTATTTATTTAACATTACATTACTTTGTTATATTTATTTAATTATTTATTCATATTCTCTTAATTTAATTTTACTGTAAACTTGAATTCAAGATTCATCCTAAATGTTAATGCCTTATAAAGCCAATGCCTTAAAAAGCCTTTGCTTTAAATGCACAACGAACATTCTAAAATTAGTACTTTTTCTCCTTTAAATAGGTGGCTCTATGGATAACAATTTACAAATTACTTCTTAATTTCACTTAAATAATTTTAAATTTATTCACACAATTCCTTCAACAGTAATATGTGACAGTAAAATTTGATATAAGAAAATTTTTATATTTAAAGATAATTTCCATTTATGCAAAGTAAATGGGTCTGCAAGAAACTAAAGGTAAATGAAATTTTTCTACAATATTAAAAAAATGGAATAGTGTAAAGAAAACTGTTTCAAAAGGATTCTGTTTTAAATTAATAAAACCACTTGAAATCAAATGTTGAATATACTTGGAAAAATAACACCTTAAACCTATGAAGATTTTTTGTATTAGTGAAACACCACAAAAATTGCATTTTAACTTTTTTCTCTATTTTCACAATCTATTCAATAACCATTTTTTTCTTGCAGTACATACATGATTCAAACAGCTAAATAAATAAAAAAATATGATATTTGCATATTTCATGGAAAAAAGTTAACATTAAACTCCTGAAATTTCATTATTCACATATACTTTTTATTAAAATTTTTCAAATTCTTCCACATTTATCAGAGATAATAGAAGAAAATCAAATACAAATTTTGAAGTAAAAAATGCATAGTTTGTAAATAGGCATTACTTTATACTGGGTCAATCAAATTATGGATTTTCAAATCCTCTAAAACCAATACTTTAAAACATTATGATTTCATTCATTCTATCAAACCACTACTGTCAGCCTGCATGTTGCATTGGGAGTACAGTGTCAAAAGGTTTGTCAGTGACATAATTCAGTTCACAATAAAGAAAACAAAACTCTCATTCACGTGTTGCAATGGTGCTAACTCTGATATCCTTGAATGTTGTTGATCAACTTGAAATATTTTCTTTAGTGGGGTTGTCAAATTATCATTGGAATTTTGTTAACTGAGATATTTTGACTGGAGTGATTTTTAAATGAATTCCAGAGCTGACTGTCTTCATTTTCTAGGTATTTCTTAAATTGGAGAGTGTTCTTACAGTTTCAACATATATATGTAATTAATGGCATTGGCAATGGAAACTATTAGGAAAGAGTACAATTGAACACTCCTACTCCACTTCTTTTTACTTACATGACTTTGTATCAAGTAATTCAATGTATTAACCATAAAGTAAGAATTAATGAAATTAATTTTTTATGATTCTGTGACATTGAAGAAATATCAAGAAACTGGACAGTTGTGATCCACATAACCTATTTCCATGTGAAACTTGAAGAAATTATCAACGAGCATTCCTTAAACTGTGAATTATAGTGATAAATGACTTGTAAATGTATAATTTATACAAAGTTGATATGTGTACAGCCTTACAGTGGAATCTGTAGTAGAGTACAATCAACACTGTATTTGAACTGTTTGTAACATATGTTCCCTTGTAAATTGTGCAGTCATGTTAATATGTAGAATACTCTTTGTCCTTACAAATATTTCATGATGAGAATCTCATGATGGTTCAAATGATCTAGGAAAGAATGTACCCTTTATTAGACAAGAAAGGGATGCATAATTTAACATCTGATCAAATCTTGTCTTCTATGACTTTAATAATTCCAAATGAGAAGACACATTTACACATAATGAGTAATTATATTGGCTCTGCTATTCTAAGGATTCTTTTTCTTTAACTATGAAATTTGTGAGTGGTAATATAAATATTAACAGTTTTGTTAATAGAAGTATTAACAAAGTTGATGAAATAATTCACTGTATTACACATTTGATGTTAAGAGTGATGTTCTAAAAGAAAGGGAATTCATTATCAATAAATTAATTTTTCTACGTTTTTTAAACATAAATATTTATTTATACGTTAAAACAGTGATAAACAGTGTTTTATTTCTGAAAATGATCCATTCGGGAAGGTAAAATGGCAAACATTTGTCTGCTTATTTAAATATCTGTAAAAACTTTCTTAAAGCAGAAAGGTTGGTTGAGTTTTGCTGGATTGAAAACAATAATGAAGAACCAATATTGAACAAACCTATGAAGTCAAGAAATGTGAAAGATGTTAGAAAATGTAGGTAAAATCCTCAGATCATATTAATTCTATTTCTTAAAATGTGTTGGCATTGTACTTTCCTCATATTGAGGAGTGTAAACATAAATTATAAATCTATTCTAATGATAGTTTAAAATATGGGCACTATGTAGAAAAATATATATTTTAGAAGTTAGATTTTTCCACATGTAAACATCTCTATTCGTACTCTCCAGTGAACCACTTCTTCATTAAAAGATCTAGGTGCAAGATGTTGAAGAAATTTGTTTGTTCATTGAAATTCTAAGAGTGTAATACATATGGAAAGAGGCACACATTGTTTTCAAAAAAATTTAAATTGTATTTCTTAGTAATAGCATAAGGAATAGCAATATCATTTGTGCAATATTTGATGAGAAAACTACAGAAATAATGAAATAAATATAACCATTAGAAGTCATTCAGATTGTGATGTCTTTCAAATCAACACAAAGAAAAGCAGTTTAGTAATATAAGAAAGAGATTCAGTAATGTGAGAAAAAATTATCAATTAATTCCAATTGTTAACAGTATTTTCAATATAATGAAACCTAAAAACTTCATTGGAACAATTTTAATTTCATTTGTGACCTTTATAGATCTTCTAACAATTGATTTTTGTTCTCAGTTTTAAAGACCAACAGTTTTTTTCTGTATAAATATGCCAACATTATTGAGATATGGTGTCTTGATTACATTAAAAAACAAAAAAACAAAAAATCCCTTTCGACTATTTTCAGCATTCATATGTATATATTTTTTTTTATTGTCAAAATAATGTCTTTTACAATGCCAATAATGCAGACAATGCAATGAAACAAAGTAAATGCTATTAAAAAAATATTTTATTGTGTTTTTGAATATTTTGACTTAAAATAATTTTCAACAGTTATTTAAAGTTTTTAAGTTTATAAGATATGAAGTTCTAAACTTCATTCATCAGAACTCATTCATATATTCTGTTCAAAGATTTTAACTCACAGCAGAAAGATCCTGTAGATACACATTGTATAAAACTAAAAATAATCAGCACAGCAAAACATATAAGTATTAACTAATGACTGCACAATTGTAACCTTAAAAGAACTGTTACTTCATGCTAATCAAAGCCTGCTTCATTGCAGTGAATGGTTCTCGTAATATTGTAGATTTATATCTGCAATATGAATAAGAGTGACTTCTATTCAGCTATGGGAAGTTTATTCATATTTAGTAACTAAAGAGCGTACCATTATTAAATAAAATTGTTCTCATTTACATATTCTAACATTTTAAAAAAGCTTTCCAAGATAAAATCTTGTAATTTTAAAGTACTATGAAGACGTTTGTAAAATTGCAAAATCCTTTTTGAAAGACTGCATCAGTAATTTAAACCAAGGCTCAGAATCATTACAGCTCTTAACACATAAATATAAGTTATCTTTTGATACAATTAGGACCAAGTATGAAAAGTGCATTAAATATTTGATTTGGTTTGAAAATCTTTTTGCTGCTAGATAACAATAAATGGTGTTCAGGATACATAACACAAGCATGAATGACAGTGGCTCTTTTGCCATGCTAAAATGACATCAACAGTGATCAAAGTGGGTGTACACTAATTAATTTTGGGTTACCTGGAATATTATTTTTAAAGTGTGCTTTTACTTGTGTGAGCTCTGAACTTCATACTGATCTTACAAGCTATTTTTTTATGTTTAAAGATGATTCTAGACAGGTTCTGGTGAATTATCTTTGAATTTTCTCAAAAAGTGTCAATACTATAGAAAATTTATAATTGCAGAAGCGATTCCTTTCCATGTAACATATCTTCTCAATATTTCAATCAAAATGGTATTGCAACTGATGACAAAGAGGGTATGGAAGTCAAAAAGCCATTTGTTTAGTCACAGAGAAAATATTTTTTGCGGGAAATCCTACTTGTAAGTTTAACTCACAAAATAGACTAATTAATTTTATCAGAATATTCTAATTTTTTTTAACAAAAATAAAATAAACACACACTGGAGAATGTACAATCTATTTTCACCATTTCTTGACATATGAAGTACCATTAACTTGGCCTTTTCGAGAAATATTTTTAGTGAGAGAGAATTATCTGTTATGTACTTTAAGTTTTGTTACTTTCTTAATACTCAATCTTCACAATTCATGTAAGAATTGTTAAAATTCACAATATAATTTGTTCCGAGTAATTAAAGTCCATAACAAAACATGTAAGAAACAAATTAATGAATTTTGATGCCTTTAATATTATTAAAAAACCTTGGTTTAAACTAAATAAAATTAATCATATTTATTCAACAGCTCACTTTGAAAATTAATATATAAATTTTTGTAAGCATTGTATTAAGAATTTATTGTTATAGTCAGTGATGCACACATTTCATCTTTGAGGTCTTTGAAATTGTAATATAACTAATGTGCAATACTTAATAACTTATTAAGATTTAAACTTGCATTTCAAAATAGAGAAATTGTCATTTATTTTGAGAATAAGGTCTTCTGTCTTATAAAATGTTGATGCTGCAGAAAAAAATTATATTTGTTATCTCCAAGAAAATTTTTACAAAAGATTTTACTTTTCCTTGCTATTTTTATTAATATTCTGGTTTAATATCTGCTTTCAAAAAATCAGATGAGCACTAGCACTACATAGGTTTCTCATTGTCACATGCCTAGTGTCATCTGATGACTACATCATTTTGAAGGAGAAGTGAAGTTTCTCATATTCCACAGTGAAAAAATTTGTTGTTTCTCATGTGGTGGGAACATTTATAATGAAAGACAATTTCAAAAGTGAATATGTCTGTGTTAGTTAACAAGTAGTAACTGAATTACAAAGATGAAATCTGCAATGCAGAAATCCATTATTAGGATGAAGGGAAAACAAAATCCAAAATACACCATTAAAATAATGGTATTTTAATGAAGTGTTTCCCCTCATAGAATAAATCCAGTTAAAAAAATAAATGAAGGTAGTAAAAATCAGCTGCATTCCAATAAAAAAAGAAAAGAGTTATGGACTGTTTAATAAAACATTGCAGCATCAATGTTTGCAGAAAAATTCAACTTTTTTCTATGATTCTATCTGCAGTACAAAAAAAGTAGAATTAGGCTCTCCAGTATACTAATGACCAGCTACAATAAGTAATTTATTTCAGAGCAGATTTTTGAATTTATGTATAGACACAGTATTGTAAAGACAATAAATTTTGAGGAGATATTCATATTAAAAAATGCTCATTACTTAATTACAATTTAAAAATAGGAAGTACAATCTGAGTCTGTTTTTCGCAACTTTCATATACAAAACATGCTCTTTTGTACTTTGATGAATCATTTTTATTTTCCTCAATGTTTTAAACATTGTTTCCATAAGTTTTTCAGATAACTACTGCACTGGAAAATATATTTTATTACAATCTTTTTTTTTCTTCCTCCATATTGGCCTGGTAATTCAATCTCTTGTTCATTTAGTTTCATTACTTTTGAAAATCCTTTCAGTTCCTTAAAATTCATTAGTACGAGTTATGGAGTTCCACAAAACAGAGTGGTTTTAAATTAATGAATAAGGCAATTAATTAGCATATTCAAGTTCCCAATACAATCTATGAATGTAAAAATCTTCCTTTATTTTTCAATTATTTTCTATATTATTTATCTCATTACTATTCCGTAATTAATAAGTAAATCCATAAAACAATCTCTGTTGAAGATATTTTGCCATGTTTCTGGCCCCTTACTTTTAAATATACGATCACATAATTTCAAAGAAGAAAATTGACTATTTATCAATAAAAAACTCATATTTCTTGAGAATAATATCTGTAAACATTAGTAAACTAATTTATATTTAATTTTGTGATATTCCTTGAATATCCTTTCCAAGGAGTGTATGTAGGGAAGGGAGAAGCATTTTTACAGATCGACTGAGAAATAAGAAATATGGAAATGAAGCTCATGGAATCGGGGTAAAGTAGAAGTTATAGAATAGTAGAAAAGCAGAATTTTTGCCTTAGAACCAATTTGTTACTTTGAAATTTGTAAAGAAATATGAGACTTAGTTATTGTTTCCATTTCTAAAGAAAATCAGCCAATTATTCCACAACAATCATCTTAAATGATGACACTCATTTTCACAATATTTTTTAAAATAATTAAAACAGAAGAATTAATTAGATGAAATGTTTATTAAACACTGTAATGGTAAATCTTTATCCTTGTAGGTCACTCAGTGACATCAATAACTTTGAATGTAATATTTACAGCATGAAACATTGTCAGTCTGTACATTTATTTGCTTTTTAGAAAGGACCCGTCGAATACAAACATATTTTATTCCACTTCATGAAACATGTTAAGGTGGAGGATGAGTAATAGGAAAACTTGGTCAATTATATAATACATGGTTCTACTTTTCTCACAATGAACTAAACTCCCCATTATTGAATATTATTATTGTCTTTAAAAACCCTCAAATCAGTTGCATGAAGCATACTACTACTTCCTTTAAAAAGTGCTTTCAATTACATACTGTGAATGTCAAAAGTAATTCACATAGGTGAATGACTTATTAAATTCCATGATATGTCAATTCAGACAATCTAATGTGAAAGATAATATACAGACTCCTTTATGACAGAAAGACTACCACCCTTATCATCTTCCGTTTCTGACGCTTGGACCAAGGGTGCAATGTCAAGTCATAGGGTAATGATGCAGTCACCAAAGCATATGTGTCGTGGCAAATTTGAAGTCCAGCAAATGTGCAGAGAAAGAGTACAGACAGATACAATTTTGATTTCTCATAAGACACCGTTACTGGCCCTAGCAAAGGTTTGGGATCTACAAGAAAGGATTACTCTCCTTTATTAAAACTTATTCAGAAATGTCAGAGTATGAATACTAAACACTGTGTTTATTTTCTTTCACCTTCTTAACAAAGATACGTGATAATTCATTTTAGTAGCAACTAAATACCCTGAGTTTAAAAAAAATCTGTAACGTACATCTGAATAAGGTCCTTCTGATGTAAAAATCAGGCCATGATTGTCATTCAGTTTCTGATCCTATAACTATTCTTCTTACAAAGGCACATATGGACTTCTAATTTGTTGATTGGTAGTCAAATATATGGAGTCTAAAACTGACCATAGCTGATGTAATCTGTAGAATATCATACATGTCTGATTTAATTTTGATAGCTAAGAGGATTCCTGTAACACCGTAGCAATAATTTTATATGTACTCACTAAAGTAAAACACTTGTAGTAATAATTATTCAATATAATACTTAATTAAGATGGGTAAATGGAAAATGTCAAAAATGAAACTAAATAAGACCCCCCCCCTCCATATTTTTATGACTACATAAAAATTATATTTGCAAAAATAAACTCATATGTTTCATTGTTCAGAGGTCTCAGATTATCGGGTCAAAGGGAAAATAATTCTTTACAAACATTACTTTTTGGTTTGGAGTTGTGTTAAAAATAATCCAAGACAAAAATTAATAGAAAAGAACAGTTTTCCTCAATGAATATAACTCATCCTTTACAATGAAATTAATATGAAGTATTATTTTCCCTGTTTTACAAGAAATTAATAGATATTCAGCTAAGAAAAGTTGTTTGGTAACTTATCGGATTTTACCACTAGCAGCATTTTTCATTTACAATGAGAGTTATGTAGTGTGCATTTGAGTTATTTTATAAACATATATTAATGATAATATATATACCAGCATACAATAAACTGTTCTGATTATTATATGAAATAAGGCAAGAAAATTTGCTTACACTTAATTTATACATATGCTAATAATATATGTACAATGAACTCTGCTGGTCAGAGTTGAAGGAAATAAAATCAATTTTAATATATTCCAATTAAATTTTTAATGTGTCTAGTTCAAGAATGAATATAAGACTTTTTTAAATGTACTCTCTTTCAGAACCAGCCTCCTGCTCATAAAATACAGAATATTTCAACTAAAACTTTTTTATAAAACGGATTATTGTTCAGAACTTTTGTATCAAGCAAATAATCTTAAGTATGAACTGTGTAACAACAGTCAAATTATTAGAAAAAACATGCATTTTCTTTCAGTACATTTTCATATGGCTTCTCTAAGATGGTTAAAAATCAAGACCAATTGTCAAACAGTTCAGGAGTAATGAAAATTAAATAGAATGTTGCAAATATCAACTGATGCAATGAATTTCATTTCATTTATCACTGATCATAAGATGATTAAAATCTTCTATGTAAAGAAATGAAAATAAAGGAACCACATTGAACCAATTTTCAGGAGCCACTGCCTCTCATTTGACATTTCACTTGTGCATTATCAAGTCTATGCCTCACGTAAACACACAACTAGAGATTCTACAGAATGGCACAGACTTTAGTTTTCTAATCCCTTTACTCTGTTAGCATTTCGATATTGCATAACCCCTCTTTCAGCCGAAACCTATCAGCACTTAAAAGGCAGTCTCTCAAATTTTCGGCCTCATAATACTTGAATTGAAATATGACTTTAAGAATATCGTCAAAGTGTAAAGTATTGTCCTGTTTCCAACTTTGTATTGAAAAATTTTGAGCTGTTCTTGAGAAAATGTTGTTTGAGCATTTCTGAAAATGCACAATTTTGAGCTCAATTCCATGGAAAAATTTTGAGTTTTAGATAAACTTCTTAAGAAATCATTTGAAGCATTTGTACTCACAAATGCAATAATGCATGAAAACCCTGATAATGTAAATATTAACACTGTGAAAAATTATTTAGCAAAAACATAAAATCTATGTAATTTTTGAAGAAGAAAAGAAGACAATGACACGCTTTTAAGCCATGTTATTCAATGCATTAGACACTATCTGTACAAAACATTTAAAGAAAAAATTTAAGCTGTTTTTGAAAAAAAGTGTATTTTTAATAATGCCCATGTTTCACTCAAAATGGTATAAAAACTATTAATATTTTCAAAAATATATTAATTTTATTAATTAAAGAATTAATTAAAAATAACAAATTTCAATTGAAGAAAATATCTCTATCTACAATAAGTAATTGTATGTGGGGATCCAAAAACTTTTAAACTTTTTGAAAATTTAGGGTTAACAGAGAAAATTGAACCTACACCATCTTTATGAGTGTATTTCACTCTATTTGTATCATAAATTTAAAGAAAAGGTTTGGAATCATTTTTGATAAAATTTTGAGCATGTCTCACAGGGCTCATGTTAAGTACCTCTCAACTTCAATGAATTCTTTTCAAAACTGCAGGTCTTTGAGTCAAGTCAAATTGACCATGCAGAATTAAATTTGGCAAAATTCTTGCAAAATTCTCACACAAAGGAGAGGCACATGAACTTTTGAAAAACATACTTTTTCAGTATCAAGGGAATATGTGTATTTCTGGTAAAACCTTGAAATCAATTTTTTACATCATTGGTTAACTTTCTTTATACATATATTACTCAATATACATGAATGTATATGACAAAGAAAAAAACGGAGAATAAGTTATGGCTAAAAGAAGATGCATCATGAGAGAGGGATATGGATCTGGGGGAGATTAAAGAGCAAACCTGCTTCACGAGTTAGATTCACACCACAGTGCTCTAGAAAATGTTAATTTAAGCAAATTGACCACTAAATTATGTTCATTATGTTATTCATTCAGAATTCTTTCCAAATTAGACCATCTCAGTCATTCTTAAACAAGTTGTTGGATTTATGATGTCAAGAATGGTACATCTACACGAAATTCACCTAGTTTCACTACCCGAAATCCACCCAATATCACTCAGTTAAACCATCGATCATGGTGGTTGTGTTCTAGAAGTAAAACTCATTTTCCAGTTCTGTCTTCTGACAAACCATCAAACTTTTCTTTCAAGGAATATTATGTTATTTATTAAAAATATTTATGTATCATAAACAAAACTTCCTCTACTAAGTTAAACTTACTGACACAGAATTTACGTAATATGGTGATGGCAATGGTGAAACGGTTAGCATATCAGTTATACCCAAGTTCCTGGGTTCAAACTCGATCATATCAGTGGATTTTTAAGGGCGAAAAAATCCTTCGGAGGGGAAGTAAAACTAGCTGTCCATGTTACAAGATTTACTGCATGTAAAAGATCCTCAATGAAGCCTCTGAGCTAAATCCAAATCACCTGTTTCGTTGCCCAAGAAATACCTCCTTTCCCCACTAGTTGGTGAAAGGAGCGTAATGAAATTTGCGAGGTCAGACAGAAGAGCAGGCGTCATGGCTTGGGTCTCACCACATAAAATAATTCATCAATTCAATTCAATAATATGAATGACTGTATTCTTTGTGAAGATTTCTCATATTTGCATTACTCAATTAGTCTTCCTGAGAAAAATGAAAATCAGACATAGATTTCAGTTCAAGATTTTAGTTCTACTTTAGTAGATGAGTATCATAAATGCAGTAAAAAGTAACCTTAATTATTAATTTGATAACTCATCAATGAAATGGTTCATCTTACAAATAATAAAAACTATTTTGTACAGTATGAAATTTATTTCTGTGTAGAGATTACATCACAATATAACCAATAAAGATATATTTATATATATCTACTCTTACATCCACGATGCAAGAGAATACTTCTTTTTACAAATAGAGATTACCATTACATGGTTATATGGTATAAATAATGGCAACAGGTTCCAAAAAATAAACAGGTTTATTTATTGCATCGTGCATTTTCTATATTGATCAAACAGCATGGACAAAATGAAGGTCACTGCATACCATACCAATACACTGGTGAGTTTTCAGTCTATTTGTGAGAGTAACAGTAATATGTAAAAATCTCTGTTCACCAAAAGAACATACAAAATAATGAAACTCAAGCTGTGACTGCAGCTACATTCTACAACCACAAGCAACGAGTTCTACTGGGTAAGTCATATATCCAAGATTCCCAAAGTGCAACACTTGTGTAACGATTTGATATTATCTAACACAGGCCACTATACATATTTGATTTGACATTCACAATTCCAAGTTTCCAAATGGCTATAAATATAATTAACTCATTTGGTAAAATGAAGTCCTAGTGGTACTTCATCTTATTAAATTAAGGTGTGCCAATTAAAAGTAAACTTAGGGAACCTCAGTTATACACACTTAAATTATTCTTGTGAATATTTACACAGGTCAAGTCTTCAAGGCATGATCACAAACCTTTCGTTTCAGTTGGAGTCACTTCATCAATCATTTTGCAACTGTAGTTTAGGCTATACAACAGACATGTTAGTTGCAATAAGGGAAAAGACTACAGTCCTACTGTATTCTTCATATTTCATAGAAAGAAATAAAAAACAAAAGAAAGCATTCAGCTTTCGTCTCCACCTCATAGTTTTGATGGACGTTATAAATTTTCATTTCATTAGCAAGGAAGTTCAATATTAAATATGAAATAAGGCTTTGAAAAGTCAATATTATTTCCACATACTTTAATCATAAAAAATAAAGCTACCAGATACTGAGAATTAAAAAAGTGTTGCTTTTCCTCTTGCGAATAACATACATCAAATGCATTCTGTATACACTACATTTATGAACTTGATACCTTGAAACAACAAACAGAATTGGTCAGTAACCATATTGCCAACGTTCTGTATTCAGTTACTTAATAAATTCTGAAGTGCTCCAGGAATTTTATTGTACATTTTTAATCACTGTTATAGAGCCGTTTTAACATGAATAATAAATTATTAAAAGAAAGATATAGAAGAAATACATAGTTGTGAGAAGAAAGCAGCAAACTTTCTTTTGTCAACAACTTCATCAAATCAAACATAACACATAACATATGTAAAAGATCTCAACACTGCAACAATCTTAAAATGAAATCTTTACAAAACATGTTGATATGCGGTGTAAAATATCCAATATTTCTGAACATTGGTACTATTTAAAATACTTACCTTAAAATACACAAGTTTTCTTGAATAATCACAAAATGAAAGATGTTCAAATAATGATGTTGCATGCTATGACAGCAGCAGTTTAAAATTAATTGAAAATAATTTCAAATCCTTCAAGAAAACACATTGTCCAAATTATTTAAACTAGTTATCTTTTGAAATATACAATATCCTTTGAAGTTGATTATAATGCATACATTTCAGAATACATAATGTAACATGTTCAGAATTTCATTGTTATATAATTTTGTTACTGTCAAATATTTTACATTTTTGTTGATTTGTGAATCGATTTAAACTTAATAGATTTGTTTGCTTTTCCCCAACACCTTAGTCATTGAAATGCAAAACAGATATAAGGCCTTGCATTAAAGGTTAACTACAGTTGAGAAAAGTCACGAAGGCACTGGAGATAGCAAAACCATCAGTCAAATGGAACTCAGTTGCAGTTTTGAGGACATACTTATACCAGGCTTTCTCATAATTGTTTCTTCAAACTGTAGCTTATAACTTTTAGTACAGGCCTGTAATATAAAATTCTACTTAATCTCTCCTTAACAAGTCATTTCTCAATACTAAAGACACATTCTTTCAATTTTCAAACAATGTGAACACAGTTAATGTTACGCTTGATCTTATGATACAAAATGCAAGGAGCAATATCTATGAAGAAAATTCTATTAATTGTATATTATAGAAATTATAGAAAACAAATTTATCCAGCATGACCAAACAATAAGGCTCAATTTAAAAACCACAAATCCACTACAAATAATCTTCAAACTGTGTGGGAGTATTTTCAAGTTCTTAAATTTCAGAATATGGTAATATTAATTTCATAAAAAAATTACAGAAAGATGTAGATTAGAGCTTGCCTGTATTCTGAAATGAAATGTGGACTTGAGGAGAATATTGTAGATTAAATTTATTTTATCATGATTTTTGAAAGAATATAAAGTAACAATGAAGAAAAAATAAACTAATTAATAATTTAAAAACAAAGCAACCGTGATATTTAAGTACCTCAATCCTGTCATGAAAATGGAATGATATTTCAACATCAAAAACTAATTTTTTTTTATTTTATAAATATTAAAGAAATTTTCTACATCATCAATGGTGAAATTCAATACAGTCTCAAGAACATAGAAGAGATATTATTTTAATTTTTAATATGATGCAAATGAACATCACTTCTTTTATCACAGTTAAAATTACTTTCGAGTGTTTTCTGATTCCTGAGCAATAACCTTTTCATGGCACAAATAAGTTATGATATAGAAGACCAACACATATTCCATTAAAAAGGCAATTTGCAACAAAAATCACAGAGAGAAAAAAATTCTCTGCCAACTGTAACTTGCAATACTCCCAATTTACTACATTTTCCCTGGTTACATTAATAAAAAATCTTGCAATGAAAGTTTATGAAATATTTTTTTAAAGTTAATTGATTTTTCATTTAACTTACATCATTACTGTTTTGTTTCAGAAATCAAATAATCCTCACCCAACAGCAAGCCATTAACATGATTGTAACGTAAAAATTATGTATTTTCCTATTTAGTCAGAATCAATGAACTTAAATAAAAAGTTTGGCGTTCACAAAGAATACATATAAATTATACACCTATTTTATATTTCAGAAATTGAGGAGACAGTTGCACGTTTCCTTGCAACCTTTTATTCCTCAACAGTCAATGATAACATAAAATAACTTAATTGTTTTGTTTGTTACTTAATTTTTTAATAACTTAATTTCTTTTGTAATTTTCTCAAAGCATTTTTTTTATTATTACAATTTCTTCATATAACCAAAAGAAATATTTTTTCAATGTCTTATTGTAATTTTTCTCACTTCTTTGGTTTATACTTTGAGTACAATAAAAAATTATTTGCAATTTTCACTATTAATGATGAAGAACATAAATTATTTCATACACATTCAATGCAAGAGCATATTTGGCATTGTTAACTCACAGTAATCTCATTATTGTTCAATACTTAGCCAAATTCTTTCTATCTTACCATCTCCACTACCTGGAGCTAGCACAGAAAAGTAAAAATACCTCTAACCTAATTTATGCTAAGATCATTTTGCTTAGAGCATGTAATCAACTTGTTACTGTTAATTGGAATGCATGCTAGAAATTTACATCAACCCATAAAAAAGAATGACAATACTTGATCCTACAATTTGAAGATATAAAATGCTATTGCAGAGCTAAACTTTTCAATGAATTACAAGATTGCTAATAAAACAAACATGTCCATTTATACTTTCAACAACAATTAGAGGCCATAATAATCCTCACTGCTTTGGCAAATTTCTGAAATGTACTAGGTGCAACAGAGAACTATGTGCTACAGAGATTAATTTTTAAATTGGTTCTGCAACATCATGTAAGTTCTAAAAAATATATATTTCTAAACAACACCAAAAAAAAAAAAAATTAAAATAGAAGCATAATAGAACCAAAAAGAACAAATGCATAGTGCAGGTTACACAGTAATTTTTCAATTCAAAGAAAGATTTTGATACAAAGTGCCAATTAAGATGTAGCATTACTCACTCAGATAATTACAATCAACAGATAACATCCTACAATATTTTGTGACTAGGTCACCTTTTTTTAACTAGTAACACAGCACAAGGCAACAATATTAGAATATTAGAAAATAAACATTTCAACACAAGTAACATCAGTGATTGCTGTTATATTCATAGTCATTAGGGCTCGTTTTTACAAGTTCTGAGTAAACAGTACCTAACACAACCAGTTTTTACAAATATTGCACTGTGTGTCTTAAAACAATTGCTACAAAAAATAGAGCAATGCTTCTTGGTAGCAATGATTTCAAAACACACTGAGATGGTGCACTGCAGTACCCTGCTTTTCAAACATTACAAAAAGACTGAACAGGTGTGCTTGGCAGTTTCAGGCACAAAATTCCCTTATACATCATTAGTGATTATATGATTTAAAATCATATTTAAAAGGAAACAAAGAAAAAGTATAATGAAGTGATAACTAACATTTAAAATAAATGAAGAACAAAAGACAAAATCAAAAAGAAGTGGGAATGAACAGAAATCACTGAAACGAGGGAAGTTTACAACAATAATAATCAATTCTGATTTAATTCATCACAAGACCAAATAAGAATGTCTTAAGAACAAACCGTCATGAAATTCCCAGTCATGTGAAAAATGAAGTTAATTCCACTGGGGTTATTAATGCTCGAGCATATAACTCCAACATTAATTTGATAAGCATTGTCATTAAATCATTTTCATTGAAGATATTAGCAAGGAGGAAGTCACATGAGAAATATTAAATATTCTTTAAGTTGCAGATAGTAGGTCAGATAAATACTTCACTTCTGCATGTCTGTTGACATCCATCTTCCAAAATATTTAAATCAATACCATCAATTTCTTAATTAAAATAGAATATTTTATCAAAATTGATTATTACTACACAGCAAACTTTTCTGAGAGTACTATTTCAGTTAACATGACCCAGCCAAGAAATTATTTTTTTTCGATCCAATAACAAAAATAATTTAAATTGGAACTACATCAAATTTTCATTTTGGTATTAACAAAAACAATGCAATAAAAGTAATATGATCATCTTAAAAAAGATGAAATTGGTCCTCAGAGAATGGTAGTAATCATATCAAACTTGTCAAAGGTTGCAGGTTCAAATCTAGCCAGAATCAATCAATTTTTAGAACAAAAATTAGCAACATGCATGCCAGCGATTCTACATCATGTAAAAAGAACATTCCTGAAATGTCAATTCAGCATTTCTGGCTGAAAATTAAATACTCCTTACAATCAAAGCACTACAACAGAGTTCTAGTTCACTGCAGAAAATGCAAAACAAGGACCTGCAGTATCAAGTAGTCAAATCGAACAAGCAAATTGGGAGAAGCAACAACAAACTACTCCAAAAACTAGAGACTGAAACAGAGGCTTCAACTGAAATGCAAACCTACATTTGGGCAGATGATGCCATAAATAACATATAGTATCCAATCCTTTTCACATAATTTGTAACTAGGGCTCCTCCAATCCCTTTCACAATATTTGTGGATAGATTCCTCCTCCACAGAGGTTTCAATGTAGGTCAGTAATGCATTGATCATGATCATCTAGTAGTTTCACATGCCATTCCAGGTCAAGTTTTAGTACAGTCTGCTTTTTGGTATTCTGAATTGAGATTCTCACTGTAGGAAAGCAGTGAGCGATAGATAGATAAGCATTCACTATTCCCATGATATCATGATGACAATTATCTTTTCTTCACATGCAATGCAAGTAGAAAATGAGTTGTTATTGAGGGATGAAAGAAAGAAAAAGAAAAAAGTTTACAAAAAAAGTATGTTTTTTTTTTTAATTCAACAAAATTATTTTTTTAGACAGCCACTAGTAAGAGTGGTTCTTTCTGGCCATGCATGGCATGCTAAAAGTTCAATTTTTAGCACTAGTGCTAAAAGTAAGACAATAGTAAAGTATTCAGATAAATCTGTCAAACGAAACAAACTTTTGTGTGACCGCATCGGCTACTGCTGCCCTTAATGTATCATAAAGTGATTTCTATACTTGAATAAAAATAAAATGAAAGTCAGTAAAGCTGTTTAAAAAATAGTGTATGACACACATGGTCAAAATGATTTTATTTTGCTCGTACGATTGCATCACTCGACCTTGTGTCACTTTTGATTTATTAATTGATTAGTAGTTCAGGGTGTATCAACTGCTAAGGTCGCTAGTCCCATAAGTGTGGTGCTAGTTAATATGGTGGGAGGTGCAGTGATCTTCCCCGCTGGATGGGAAAGTCTCACACCAACCTACCTGTCGACTTGTGGAATTTTCCCCTATCAGGCATTTCCCATCAGCAGAGCACCACCCCAGTCAGGATGAGCTTGAAGCTCCCGACTGGTTTCCTGGTATGTGTAGTGTATGTAAGTGTACGGTTGTGAATTCAGGGTGAGCAGAGGACAAGGAAGAGGAAGGAAAGATCATGTGCGGTCTATGGCCCTATTGTTACGGTTCTGCTCCTGCATTCACCTAGTGTTATAAGGAGAAACCATGGAAAACTACCTATAATAGCCGCCAGATACAAGAATTCTCCTCTAAACAGTGGCTGAATTTGATCTAGCTAGTTTTGAAAATCTTGCCACCATCCGGACTCGAAGTCTACGACCTCCCAGTCAGAGAAACTGCAGAGACATCAGTTGATACCCTGAGCCACCTAAGTCGGTCCTTATGTTGCAACCATTCTTTCTCACAAAATAAAATGTCACTTTTACGAATCGTATTGTAAATAACTATTTTCACCTCTTAATAAAGGTAAGTAAATAACTAATATCCATTTTTTGTACCTCGTTAAGTGCAGTATATCATTTGTAGCTGATCATTTTATTAAGTAGTTCACATTAATTTCACAGGTAACAGACCTACATGTTACTAAGTAAGGCATCATGACTAAATGGTCTTCTCTCCTGTCAAATG